TAGCCAAGAGTTGGAACCAGCCTAAATGCCCATCATTGGATGACTGGATAAGGAAATGTGGCATATCTACGCAATAGGATACTACTCTGCTGTGAAAAAGAATGAAATACTACCATTTGCAGCAACAGGGATGGACTTAGAGAAAATTATATTAAGTGAAATAAGCCAGACACAGAAAGAGAAATGCCACATGTTCTCACTTATATGTGGGAGCTAATAAAAATAAATAAATAAATATACTAACAAATAATGGGGGAGGGGAGAGAAGACACAACAAGCACAATAATTCCTTGAACCTGTTAAGATAAGTGAACAGATATGATGTTGATGGGAGTTGGGGAAGGGGAAGGGAAAAGGAGGAATTGGTAAAGGGACATGAGAATCAGCCACATTGTATACTAGTATGTTGATAAATTAAAATAAAAAATAAATTTAAAAAACAAAAAATCCCCCAAAGATTTGTTGTTAAATAATTACCTCCCTATTCCTTTGAGACAGAGTACTTCCCTATCTGATGCAATTGTTTCTTGTAATGCATACATTAGACTATGGATTATGTTGTATTGCCATCTTTTTTCCCTAAACCCTCTTTCTTACTAGGCTGTGAGCACTTTAGGACAGAACCCATGCTAGCTACTAAGTCTGTTTATATTCTCAAGCAGTTACTCAGTGCCAGGTATTCTCCCCAGCTATTGATGATACAACAGTGGAAAAAAATAAAGTACGGTCTGCTCTTACAAGGCTTACATTCTGGTTAGAAGGGACAGAAAATAAACACGCAAATAAAAAACAGGGTAATTTAAAATATTCAGATAAATACCACAAAGGAAATAAATAGGATAACACAGTGGGGGAGGGAGGGCACAGGAAACCATGCCATCTTTAGCTGCGGTGGAGATGAAAGAACGTGTCTCTTTAGTCTTTCTATAGCCACAGCGTGAGTAGTACCTGATATATGCTCAATACACAAATGGATATTTCTTAAGTAAATTAACTTGAAAAAACTTGTTTGGTGAAAAAAGTAATCTTTAATATGGTGTATTTATTAACACCACTGGTCATTAATGGCTACTATTAACATATAAATTTTACCTTAATAGCTACATCCAATGCCAACACATAGTTTTCACACTCCAAAAAAAGGCATTGCACACTATGATGGGAAAACATACCAGTGCAGAAAACATGAATGCTTCAGTATGAAGCTTATATACATTTACATAGAAATTCTGTGACACATAATGTTGTGGGTGGTTGTGCCTTTATACTCTGCTCTGTGACCCAATTCTATATTTTTAAAATAAATTTCTTAGGTTAGAAAAAATTCTGATTAAAGTAAATACATACTTGCAATTAAGGTTGCAGAAACATATGACACTTTAAAATGTTAATTTTCTAGAGTAAATGAAATATCCAGTAATGCCACCTTCTTTTCTGATTTTACTTGAACAGGAAAACGAGGCTAGGTAATATTTTGAGGGCTGAGAAAGCATTCCTGACCAAAAGCTTCTGTTATTATTCTTTACAAGCATGGAAGAACACTGATTAAATTCTAAAATAACTTTGGTGTAATAGTATTCTTTTAGTTAGGGTTATTATTATTGATACATTCATTGTAACTTGTTTATAGGGTGCTTTAATAGTCTCTGTGATTAATGCTTTATATGCATTATATCAATTAGTTCAACAAACTTAATAAGCAAGATTGATTTCTCCATTTCACAGATGAGGAAACTGAGACTGGGGAATTTAAACACCTTGTTTAAGTCACATAGCTAGTACCTTTCCAATGTGTTGCTCCATCCTTTCTTTATTCTTGCTCCATTTCACAGATGAGGAAACTGAGACTGGGGAATTTAAACGCCTTGTTTAAGTCACATAGCTAGTACCTTTCCAATGTGTTGCTCCATCCTTTCTTTATTCTTGTTAAAATGTCAGATGATTAAACTCTAACGCTGATCATTTATGACCACATTTTTGTTATTCTTGGTTTAGTACACTGTCAGGCTTACAGTGGGCATCCAAAAAAATGGTAGCCATGATCAGCTATTTGTAGGTAAACCTATGTTGATGTAATTGCCTCATCAGCAATATGAAAACATGTTTACTCACCTAAAGGCCCGAATGGTGGTGAGTCCTTCGGCTGTTTCTGAGAAGTGGCAAAGCAGAGGGAGCTGGGTACTGTCATCGAGTTCCTGGAGGTCCCTAGGACAGAGAAGGGAAAAAATAACTTCAAGTGCATCTAAGCTCAATGACCACCGTGTTCATTCTAAATAAAGGTTATTTTATCTTTGTATTTGTCTTTGTAACTAATTTCCCTTAGCACTCAGTTTACAAAAGCTTTAATAGTTTACAACCTAAAGAGGAAGAGAGAGATGGGGACATAATGACTACTAGTCCAGGCTGAATGTAACGTGTTGTACCAGAACTACCAGTTTTGCGTAACAGCTAGAGAAAACTGCTATAGGGACACAGAGGAGTGCTTAATTCATACCTAGAAAATGGGTGGTACCTTCTTTGAGCAGGTGGAATTTAGGCCAAACCTTAAGTATGATGATGGCTTCAGTGAAATAGACAGGAAGAAGTGCATTCCAGCCAAGGGAAAAGTGAGAGCAAGCACAGGAGTCTGAAGAACCGGGCAAATTCAATCTGCCTCCGGGGGTGCCATAGTCTGAAAAGGCTATGGAAAGGAGATGGCCTTGTAAGGGTGGGACTAGATGGCACAGGATCCTTAATGGGCTGAGAAAAGTCACTGAAGACTAGAAATAAAATGGTCAGAGCTGTGCTCTATCAACATGACTTGAGAGCCAATGCAAAGGATGAAAAGAAAGGACAAGGGAGGTCGGTTAAGATAGCCTACCAGGTAGGTTTTCAAAAAGTTCTGAATTGGTGTGTTGCTGGGAAGATTTAAAATAACGAGGGTGCGAGGATTTTGAGCTAGTCTGCTAGAAATAGCATTCTAAGTTGCAATAATCAATTAGTTGTAGCAGGGTAAACAAAAGCCAAATATGGCTTGGCTATTTCTAGTTTAGCAGACTTGAAAAATAGTGTTATTTACCAGGGTTGGGGAACACAGAATGAAGAGATTTGGAGAGAAAAGACAATAAATTTGGCTTTCCTTATTTCGCTCAACGTAAGTTTCTCCAGGTTCACCCATGTTGTTGCAAATGGGAATATTTCATTCTTTTTTATGGCAGAGTAGTATTCCGTGGTGTATATGTACTACAAAGTGGAGTGAGGGGGGAGGTTGGGGGATAATTGGGTGGGGGACATGGGGTACAAAAGCAATTTCTGGTAAGGGGTATGCTGCCAGTATGCACCTGGCCCTCACATCATGGGCACAAGGTTTGACAATTAGGTTTGTATCTCATGAATATTCATAATTTTTAAAAAATAGAAAAAAAAATTGGCTTTGACCACAACAGTTTCAATCCCACATACATAGGCACAGGTATATAAAGTATCCAATGAATGGAAATGCCTGAATCTAATCCTCTTCATAAAGATGCATACTCAGGACAACTTTTCTTTAAATCACATAAGCTAGCATTTCTAGATGATGGGCTAAGAATTATACCACTTATTTCAAAGCATTCTCTTTTTTCTTTTCAGTCTTTTTTTTTCTGCCCTTCTCTAGGTCTTTGGGGTTGAGGGAATTAGAGAAGCACATTCACCTGCCAGAGTCAACTGACCTGATAAACAGTTACATAATCTGGAACAATTAATTTGGGCTGTTCTTGGATGCCTGTGTAGTCCCACAAACAAATGTAACATCTTTTCAATTTGGAGTTTCTGAAATGAATTCGCTCACTTCATAAATTGCACGGGGTGGGTCTGGGGGGTGGGTGTGTGGACGGAAAGATGGAGGGAAAGTGGTGAATAAATATGAAGGCATGTGAAGGGTCTGACTTTTAAACATAAAACGAAGTGGCTATTTGTAATTCTGACACAAGCAACAGGTGGCCACTACACTGAGGTTTGCAGTGAGGGAAAAAAATTAGGAAGGAAGAACCTGTGTTTATAGAACTGTATTTTGTGAAACCAAAAAGGCAAGTGCACAGCTTGATTTTGTATTCTTGTAAGAAAGAAACACTTACTTACAGAGATAACTATGCATTAGATCTTTGATTTTAGGCATTCAAATTTCATGGCACTTCCTGTAGCTAATTCCCCATTTAAATTCTCTTTGGTGTATACAAAAACAGTCTGCCAAATTGCCTGAGCTTTTTAACATTGGTGAGTCCTAAAGAGCCTCTGTGTGCAGAAAGATCCTCTTGTCTGTGAGATTTAACATCAGTGGTTATATTTGCTAGCTTTCAGAGAATTTCAAACAAGAATGATGTTGGGAAAATGGAATAGTTTGGTCAGGGCCCTCACCTTGGGTCCAGTTGGGGGTGATGAAGCAAATTGTGTGCGTGTGTGTGCGCGTGCGCGTGTGTGTGTGTGTGTGTGTGTGTGTGTGTGTGTGTGTGGAGTTAGTGTGCGTGCACGCCAGTGTATCTTTTTAGTTTTGTTGCTATTCTTGTGTTCTGCGGAGAGAGGAGAGAAGAGAGAGACAGAGAGAGAGAGAGAGAGAGAGAGGCAGGGAGGCAGAGAGAGAAAGAGAGAGAGAGAGAGAGTTTCAGTGAAGCAGGCAGGCGGGTGTCAGCCCCGGGCATCCGCCCTGTGCAGCCATGCTTTCCAACCTATGGCTCCAAGGACCTTTTAGCAGGTTGCCTAGCTCATAGACCTGCATGAAGGGATCTGGTGACCCAGCCTGGCGTGGAGGGTCTGATGACCCAGCCTGGCATGGGAAGGGTTTGTGACCCAGTATGTGAATGGGCTTGATGGGTCTGGGAGCTTCAGACCCAGGCCTAGCTCAACCATCAGCCCAGTCGGTGCAGAATTACCGGCAGGTAAAAGAGCCGTAACAACTAGCATGGTCGCCTTAGCTTTACAATTGGCATCACAAACAGGGTTAAGAGCTAGACAACTGGCACTGTGAGCAGGATTCCAGACCCTAGCCGTAGCTCTGCAAATGATATATCACTCATTATCATCAGTAATTCTTTAAAAATGATCATCCCCTTGTATATTTTAGTCACTGCCAATGCTAATAGGTTATTCTCACTGATAATGAACAAAATTCACAATTCAAATTTGTAAAGGACTAGGAATATTTGCCTAACCTTTGCACTCAATTTGTATTGCTAAAGGGAAAAAATATGCCCAAATGAATACATGATTGAAGTAAAATAGGACTGTTTGATATTAATGGCGAGAAGGCAAGGATAGATTTGGAAACAGCCAGCAGTCAGGAAATGGCTCTGAACCTCTTTGCCCCCTCCCACCCCCCACCTCCAGCAAGCAGTATCTGTACTAAAACCAGAAGACATGCAAGAGTGAATTTGATTGCTAGCTTCTCCCTTTTGGTCTGAATTTGCTACAAGAAAAGAAGATGAAGCCGGGGGTGAAAAAACACTTTATTTTTTTGGATCCCTGACATTTGAAGAACACTAATTCATAGCTCCAAGGGAGAAAGAACTATATTTTTTGTTATGAAGAGGTTCCCAAGTACAGTCCTTCCCTTTTTTCTTACCTTCCCCTATTTTCCTTCATTGTCCCTGTACTTATATTAAATAGTTTCTACTTCCTGAATAAACTCAATATCTGCCTTCTTATTCTAGCACCTAAATCACATATTAGAATTACTTATACGTTTTATCTTCCCCAGAGACTGTAACTTTTTTGAAAATAGGTTCTTGTCATATTGATCACTTCATCTGCAATGCGGCTTAACAGTTATTTACAACACAATAAGTGCTTAATAAGTGTTTGTGGAAGTTAAGTGATTCCTGCAATAGCATAAAATTTACTGTACTATTTATAGCTGGGCTTCAAAGTTAAACTGGAAATTTAAAAACAACCGGCATTATATTTGATTGCTGTTGAACATCTCAGGAATTGTCAAATCCTACATTAATAGAAGAATTTAAAATTCATGGCTACCTTTTATTTATTTGGCTGGATACTCAAGTGCAAGTAAAATGATCCCATCTGGAATTTTCCAGTCTCTTAAAATTTACAGCACTCTTGTCAGATGTTCAAGATTATCTATTTTTATAGTCATCACTCTGATTTATCTATTAAACCCTTTTTACTTCTTTTATTTCACTCAATGTTATTTAAAGATTTAAAAATTTTTAACCTTTTTCCCTCTTGTGGAATATATGATATTAAATCACTTACCCTTTGCAACTATGCTTAATTTTGTAAGTTTGCAGTCAATATTATTTTCAGAAACAGGACCATGGAATGAAAAATTTGGCAGTCCGTGGATTCAGAACCTAATAGATCAATCCACATGTTAAGACATATCTAGGGCTTTGAAAAGCCCAGACAATAAATTATGGGAATAATTATAATACATTTCCAAATGAATCATAATAATAAGGATAGGCTTCATCATGTTAAAAATAGGTTGCATTTCTAAATTTCACACCTTATCTTGAAAAAACACTACAGCAAATGTTGATCACACTAAATCAAATATATAGGCTTTTGGAAACGAGTAGAACACTGTGTTACTTACTTAGAGGCAACTCGGAAGTATTTCTGGATAAAATAAAAGGCAACCCCAAGAGGCACAAGAGCAACCAGGAACACATGAGTAGCATAAGAAATCATCCCGATGGCCGACAGGCAGAGAAGTGTGGACCGAGTTAGAGATTCCAACGTCGGAGGGATGTGCTATTAAGAAGGTAGTTTGAAAGGAAAATGTTTTAAGTCAAAGGAAAATTTGATTCCAATGCAACAAAATATTCATTTTATATTAATGTTAAGTTATATATTTACAAAAGTAGCATATATAAATGTTCATTGTAAGCTATTCTTCATTCATTTTCCATAGCTTAGTCTATCTGTTTATTTATCTATCTACATATTGTTATCTACTTATCTACCTTTTTTTGTTGGTATTTTATATAAATGGCACTATAGTATAAATCTTATTCATCTATGTGCTTTCTAAATTTTTTTTTTTTTCTTTTTCCGTGTCCGGCGACGGATCGCAACCCTCAGTGTTGCCCCCGTACCGGACCGGGGACCGGCAACGGGATCGCAACCCTCGGCGTTGCCCCCGCGCCTCGCTCAGCCAGTGAGCGGGAACCGGTCCGTATGTGGGATCCGAACCCTCGGGTGGGAGCGCCGCCGCGCTTCCCAAGCGGCGCACTATCCAGTGCGCCACCGGGCCGGCCCTTTCTAAATTTTATTGAACGGAATAGGCTAAATCTTTTACCAAATCTTTTTATAAAATCTTGTCAGTGTATACAAATCTATTTCTTTTAAATGGCTACATAATGTTAAAAAAAAAACTTACTTAGCTATTCTTCTACTATAAGACAATTAAATTAATTTTCTGTAATTGCCTGCTTGCATCCTTTGAATGTTTTTGATTGGATTATCTTTCTCTTATTGATTTTCGGATGCTTTATATATATTATGATGTTTATCTTCTTTCGTTTAGATTTCTTGCCAGTTTCTCTCCCTTCTTATCTATTATATTTTAAATTTGTCTTTGGTGCTTTTAGCTCAATAAAAGTTTAAAATTTCATATAGTTTTTTTTTGTTGGCCTTTTTCCTTATTGTTTCTGAGTTCTGTATCTTACTTAGAAAGATCTGTCTCACCCCAAGATTCTAAAACTTCTCCTACATTTTACTTCATGATTTTATGTTGGTACATGGCCATCTTTATTCTATATATATTTGTTTTGTACTTTGTGGATAGCTAATCATCCTAATAACCTTTATTGAAAAATTAATCCTTTCCATACTGATCCAAGATGCCATATTTATCCTATGTTAAATTTCTGTATAGCTAGTATTTTTGATTTCTCCATTATGTTCTTTTTGATCTACTTGCCTTCTATGATCAACAGAGTGCTTTATTTTTGTGGTATTTTCTTTTTTTTTGATATCCGATAGGAAAATTCTCTCTCTCTATATACAGGATTTTTAGGACAATGGGGACTCCTGGGATATCTTTTCCTCATATTAGGTTTATTTCTATTTTTATTGGGTTTTTTTGTTATTACTAATGGCATTTCTCTTTCACTAAATTTTTTAGTTGGCTTAGTTACTGATTTTCATACAATATGTCTTGTGCAGATACTCTGCTGAACTTTCTAATTGGTTCTTTATTTTACTAATTGTTTTGAATTCTCTAGGTAGAAATCGTATTATCTTCTAAATAATGACTATTTTGTCTCTCCTTTTACAATATGTATTTCTTAGAAGTGTTTTAGGTGCAGTGTGACCTAACACCAATGCTGTGAAAAAAACCTGGTTTCTTCACATGCTTTTAAATCAGCTGCATGCATCAAGCATTCATTTTCTAAACTGATGTTAGTTTAGGTGTTCCTAATGGCATCCTGGAAAGTCAGAAAAGGGAAAGGCTGGATTTAATGGGTTCCTTTCTCAGCCATCTTAAAGGTTCTGCTCTTGGAGTGATCCAGTTTCAGAGTTTGATGTTTTTAATTTCAGGTCAAACTCCTGGAGCCCTAAGGATCTCAGACTAATCTGGGCATTCTTAGAATACTCTCTAAAATATCACAACATCTAAAACTTCAAGAAGCAACATAATAGAACTAAAAGACATCAAAGAGAGATTGGCATCCCACGCTTCACTTCTGAGAGACACTGGAGGGATACTAAACTTTGAATAACTTCACACTGTGAATGGATATACAACATTGATCAAAATCAGTCCTTTTTATAATCAAAAGTTTAAATGTTGGATCATTCTTTGCTATTTCTCTTTATTTCATGCTGATTCTCTAAGCATCGTCTTCTGCAAGCACAAATTAGTTTGAATTAAGGCTTTCCTTTAAGATTTTATTCTAGAAATCATTTGCATTTATAATATTGATATGAATGCAAATTGGCCTATATTTAAATTTTAGCAATTCTCTATCGTTAATAGGAACTGTGCTTTATCTTAAAATGTTATTTAGCTTACCTGAGAAATTTATTTTTGAACTTGGAAGTAACTCAGATACTCACCTGATCAATGATATTAGTATCAGCTGAAAAGCGATTGAGAATCAGTCCCAGGGGTGTGGTATCAAAGAACCTAGGCAATAAACAGACTGGAGTGTAAGAAAATACTAATCTATCTGGAATCTGAGTACTGCTAATAGACATCTTAGAGTTATGAACATGATAAGGTCTCCTGTTCATTTGCTTAAGGACTGAAGAAATTCTTTAATCATACACATTTCACTTAAATTTAAAATGCATGTTTTTATAATTTTGTATGTGGGAGTGGGAAATAACTACTTTTTTACCTTATTGGTCCAAGAATTATCTTATTGAGGAGATTGTGGTGAAGATTTTTAGCAGCTGTGAGACCCATCCATTCTACAGTGAGCGATGTAACAAGGCAAAGGAAAATACCTGCTCCACAAAGCATGCTAAATACAGCCACATAGAAGGTCTAGAAAGCAACCAACAGGAAAAGCACATAAAAAAATTACCAATCGAGTTTTGTTTCTTACTAGAAAACCAGACATGAAAGTCAGACAAGTTTGTTGACTTCATTATTTTGTATACACTTAGAAGTTAAAGGGGTGCAGTTCTTGGAGACCCAGGACAGTATCCACTATAATCCCACAGGCCAAGGTTTTCTTGAGGGCACATGAAGGGATACAGCTTGTTTTCAGGTTTGGATCATATTCTTGTCTTTCTGCATTGTAGAGCTCATTCTTCCCATCTCTAATCTCACAATCAGCAGCTAATACACTGATGTAGGTAGTTAAAATCAAATACCATCAGAATAACAACAAAAAGTCCTGTTTGTGTGCACGTATGTATGTGTATAACATATATATATATATATAAAACTCCCTTGAATCCAAATCCAAACATTATCTTTAAATTTTTTTAATAAACTTTAAAAAATAAAAGTAACAGTAATAGATTCCATTTTTAACATTTCTGACAGTTTATTCTATTTCAGGTCCTGTTGTAATTATTAACTTTATTGAATCATTACAGAAGTCCTGTGACATGTGGGCTATTAGTACCTAACTAGGTAAGAAAGTATCACTGTTAATCTCAACATTTCCACGATGATTTAAAAACAGAGCTGAACCCACTGTACCTGATCAGCTTTTCCAGTATTGTTTATATTGTACTCTGACGTCCATGTGGCCAGCCAATAGTCTATAGCTACGATGACTGAATGCTTCAAAAGCTTAGAGAACATCATTAGGAAGAGCAAGAAGAATCCTCCAGAAGTGAGGTATCGCCAACAGGTTTTCCATGGCATTTTAGTCCTGAGCCTCATTACAGTGGACATATCATCATCTTCATCTTCCTCCTCTTCCTCCTCTACACACAAAAGAATTTGTGTCAACTTCAAATGGGCACTAGGTAGGTAGAATTTTTATTTTCCCACAAAAAATGTATATAAGTGTTGACAAATTTATGGAAATATAAGGATTAGTCTCAGAAATTTTAAATGCTTTTAGAAGTCTTCATTTTTTGGAAAATAGGTAAAAAATGAATAAATGAATAAGTGACCAAATAAACATAAAATCTTTGTCTGGCTGAGATCATTTGCTGATTTACTGCAAATTGCTTGGAAGTATAGACTCAAAGCTTACTAAGTTTTTGAAATAATTGTGTTGCCAATACAACCATGTTGCAGATGTCTGCAAACATCAGTCGTTTTTTGACCTATAAATTTCTGGATTTATAAAACTGTACCAGGAGGAAATAGGCTCCGAAATTTGTGCTTAGCCCAGGAGGACATAACTCATGCTCTCTGGGGCTCATTTCAGATATGCTATTGGAAGAGAGTAGGCAAGGAGGAGCCTTCCAGAGGGCAAAACCAGGGGCCACTGAGGATAATGGGCAGGGAGTTCCTCTCAGATGTTTAAACCATCTGGAAACTCCAAGATGGGCTATCCTAAGAATGTACTCCACTGCTAGGGCACAGAATTTTTGCTTTCCTAACCAGCAAAATTTGATCATTTGTATGGTCCAGTGACTGCTGTGTGTTTCCCATTCTTTCCTTTTCCAAAAGCAGTTTTCATTACAGTTATCCTGTATATACTGATTAGGTTGTGGGTAGGAAGGATAGATAACTTGTCTTTAGCTTATAAGTTATCAGACTACAGGGATCCAAATGTGGATATGATGGAAAGACTTATCATTGCTAAGAATCGTGATATTTAAGCTGGATGCAGTAAACGACTAGGTCTCAGAATATGTCCCCTTTGGTAGGAGTGTGTTCTCTGTGAGAAGGACAGTAATAGAAATTCGTATGACCAAAGAGGTGGACACTTGCAGACTGCCAGCTGTCTCCCCAATGTCCATTCTCTGCTTCTATATTAATTGAAATTTCAAGTTGCTCATGGCTGCACAGCTAAAGACAACATTTCATCACTTTTCTGTCACCTAATCTGTTCATGTAATGAACTGGCCAATAGTAAGTAAGTAGAAACAATACACACAAGTCCACGTCCCTCAAGGGAAAGGAAGTCCCCTCTACTTCCCTTCTTCCCCTCCCAGTGGCTTGAGCAGGTGTACCGATAGGGCCTGGAGCATATTAGTAGGTAATATGTACCGTAGTGAGCTCTTTCACATATATTACCTCATTTTTGCCTGTAAGAAAAGTGCTATTATCTTATTGTATACCTGAGAAAATGAAATAACACAGCAAGCCCAGGGCAGAGTCAGCATCCCCAGTGGTAGAATCCCCACCAGAGCCCTGGAGAGAGTAACTGGGCACAACTCCACTTTTGGAGTACATTAGAAATAATTGCTTTAGAATTGCAGAAGTTGATGTCTGCTTACAGAATCAAAAGTTCTTTAAGAACATTTTTAGTCTTACAATTTGAAATGCAAATTCATTCATTTATTTACACAATGAACATTTGTTAAAACACTGAATAATCATCGGAAATGTAAAGGTGGCACATTTTGGTGGTGTTTGGCTTGAAATTATAACTTTCTCTGCTTTTTAACTGGTTTGTATAAATGCAGTCTTAAGCAAAAATTACATAGGAAAAAATGAAGTTAATGCATTTACTCTATGAACTTCAGAGGTGGTTTATCTTACAAACAAATGTCAAGGCAATTTAATTATTTTATCTCATTCTTCAAGTTTCCAGTAAATCTTTTTATCCCAGTATACTTTATTAGATCCCCCAAACTGAAAGAAAACAAATGGCTTTCTAATTTTCTTATCCTTCATTGCTATACCGTCATGAAAACCTCATGACGATGTACTAAATGAACCAAATACAGATGTTTCAAAACATTATGTTTTGAGAACATTTCTTATTTCTGAAGAATTGAAATTTTATTAATAACTTGATTTGGTCATTCACTAGCATTTAGAATTTTTCTGAGAATGGGTCTAGATCTCTTCACTGCCTTTTCCTTTCAGTTTTCTCTCACACATACATAGCACCAATATAGTAAGACAAACTGTGCACAGCCCCTCAAGCTGCTTGTCGATGGATTACACACACCTTTTTCCTTGATTCCTTTTCTTTTCACTTTCAGTGTTATGTATTTGTTTTCACTTTTCTTCCCCTGCAAAGTGGCTTGCTAGTCTTCATTGAGACACTCAAACATCATTTGCCAAAGTAAAGCCCTTTCCTCCCATTCCCCATCCAAACGTTTGAGATACAAGAAAAAAGATTTACCTTCGTCTTCATCCTCCATTTGGGCTTTGGCCTCTCTTGAATACATGGCTCTTCGGAGAGTTTTTCTCTCTAAAGTTGTTTGGTCAGCTTCCATATCCTACAGTAAACATTATGCTATCATTTCAGGAGCTACCAGCCATAACAAGGTTTTGAATTGCCCGTGAATGACCCACACATACAAATGGTTAGTGACTTTTACTGGTCTCAGGGGCTCTCTGCCCACTCAGCAGATCCACAGCTCCTGTCACAGGAGCAGCTATGGGGGCAATGCCTTAGATCTGTAGAAAGTGCTCAGTGCTCAGAGGTGTAGGGTAGAAAGAAGCCAGGGAAAACAGTAACCAGGGGGTGCAGCTGACTGCAGGGGCATATTCCCTAAAGCATATTCCCACCATTGCTACTTATTTTATTTTTATATCACTTTCAGATGCTCCCTGTAATCTTTCTAAGGATTCAATTATGTTAATAAATATCTTCTTTTTAAAAAGCACATAGTTCTAAATTGGGTCAACTGCTGTCAGTTGTCCACTATTATAAAGTATTAAATCAGAATAAGTTTCTTTAGCTTCTCACTAAGGGAGCTGCACAAAAGAAAGGGACTTCAATAAAATCTGAAGGAAGGAAGGTAGGTAATTCTGAAGCAAATAGGCAGAGGGTACTCAGGTGCCTTGCAGTTCACAAGAAAGCCCTAGGAGAAGGAAATATACAGAAAGAGAAGGGAAAGGTGCCAGGAAAAAAACCTGCAAATTCTTGAGGGTTGCTACAGATTTGCCCTGTGCCCAAGAAAGGGAGAAGTATTTCCTCTTCCCCATGCCCTGGCTTCCAGCACCCCAGCTCCTCCCACCTCAGAACTGAAGGAGTAATATCAGTTCAGTTACATTATTGGTTAAATCGGGTTTTTCAGGCCAGTCTAGAAAACTAACCATCACCCTGTTTCTTTGGGGAAATTCATTCTGAGTTCCAAACAACTGACCCACAAAGTTATGGAATTTATGGTAGTAGGGGTCTCGTGTATATACCAATACCCTTTCCCCCCCAAAATACCCCCAAAACTTCACAGTAAATAAACCAATAAACCTGTAGTGATCAGTACCTAAGTAGTAACCTTGTGTTTTTCTTCTTTTTGGTCTCATAAAACGTGTGCTTTAGGAGACTTGCTATTCTAGAAGGCTCTGTTAGTTCCAGATTCTTGATTAAAAAGAGTAAAAATGAAAACGTCTCCTAAATACCATTTTTACAGAGACAATTTGTCATTAGCCTTATTTTGCGTTCTGATACGAAAAACAACATTTGAAAATGAGGCTAGATAAAACTCAGAATTAAAGAGGATCTCTATCCTTTGTGTATCAGTAATGGAATGAAATATACCTGAACACTGCAAAGTAGTTTTGGTTCTGGTTCAACTCCCCATGCTGTGTGAGCAAAAGATTTAACACCTCAGAAACATTTAAAAAAAAAACTTTTAAAGCAATTTTTCTTAAGAGTAAATGTGCACATTAAGCTTATTATAGGTTAGATATTTTAAATTGTGTTGGTATTTGGATTAAGTAAATACAAATTTAGTTTCATTTATCCAATAAATTTTTACGGGGCCAGGCCAAGGTGAGGGTGGGAGGGAGGAGTAGAGAAAGTCAAATGATACTAGTTTATTTTGCTTAGTAACATTATGAAAATAATGGTTAACACTATCCAAGCTAGAATTTTTTAGTGATTGGGTATCCCTTATCCAAAATGCCTGGAACTGGAAGTGATTTCGGATTTTTCCCAATTTTGGAATATTAAGATTATATAGTTACCGGTAGAGCATCCCTAATCAGAAAATCTGAAATCTGAAATGCTCCAAAATTTGAAACTTTTTGAGTGCTGATATGACACTCAAAGGTCATACTCAAAGGAAATGCTCATTGGAGCATTTCGGATTTTGGATTTTGGGATTAGGGATGCTCAATTTGTAATATTTAAATCAGGTGAAAATGTTACCTCTTTCTCCTTCTTTGTAGTTTTCATTACTATCTCCTTAACATATTCTTTCCTATTTACCCTTTAATCCTGAAACTGACAGTTCTTTCTAAAGCCCTGCACTGGGAGGTTTTGGGTGTTCTTGATTTCACCTTCCTTCTGCACATGCTTCATCTGTCCTGGCCCGAGGCCAGGCTTTCTCAACCTTGGTGATATTGACATTTGAGCTGAATAACTCATTGTTGGGGGGTCTGCCCCGTGCGCTGCAGAACAGTGATCAGCATCCCTGTCTCCTACCACTAGATGCTAGTAGCCCTGCTCCAACCGTGGCAATAAACAAACAAACAAACAAATAAACAAACACGCAAACAAAGGGTGGGGGGGGGACACAACAATCACAAAAATTCCTTGAACTTTTTAAGTGAAGTGAACAGATATGATGTAGGGGGAGGGGTGGAGGTGGAGGGGACTAGGTAAAGGGGCATGAAAATCAACTACAATATATATTGAGAAGTAAAATAAAAATTTTTTTAAAAAGGTCTCCGGATGTCCCCTAGGAGGCAACACTGGCCTTGGTTGATTGGTAAACACCCTGTCCTGCCATATAACAACCTAAAAAGAAAGCTCTTTCTACAGAAACATCCCCAAGGTATTCTAGTAGTCTTGTTCTCCACAGTGTGATTCTCTCTGGCTCCAGATGAATTCAGGTGCCTGCATTTCGTTACCTGGCAAGAATCTTTCTCTATGCCCAGAAGAGGATTCTGGGCAGGTGCTTGATTCATTCTGACTTCCACTGGCTGCCTTTCCACCTTGCAACTGGATTTTCCCTGTCCATACCCTAACTTGCCTCATACCTCCCTCAGCTCATTTATAGCCCTGTAATGTGTCTTTAATTACAGAGCTATGCTATCTCAAGTGATCATTTCTAAATACAACTTAATGGACTTTCTTCCTGGATTACTTAATGGTATGACTATAATATCAAGCCAACAGCTCTCTCTTTTTTTCTTTTCCAGATCTTCTTTCCAAAATAAACCATAAATTGTCCTACTCCTTAAGCTTACATCATATTCTTTTGCTCCTACCATTTAGATCTCTGAAAAAAATGTTAGTTGGAGCCGTCCTGCCAGTACGTTTATAATCAACCTTCTGACAGCACAATTCCTAAGTGGGCACTTGTCCACTGTACCTTATTTTTTTTCCCCTGAATATCCTCATTTCAATGGTTCTGTGATTTTTCCTATTCTACTCATAGATTTTTCATGTATCTTTCTTCCCTATATGGGTTGCTTTGATGTGTTCAGTAAATCCATACAAGATAGAAAAATCCCAGAATTTGTCTGCCTTTTTATCTTTCTCTCTCTATGGAAACAGACTCTTTTTGTTTTTTTGTTTTCTTCCTTTCTAAAATAATATATTTTAATTTCCTGATATTTAAAAATTTTTTTAAATATAAATATTTCATTGTATAATGCTCATTCCTGGCCAGGAACACCAAATTCTGGACAATTCCTACTCCCAACTCAGGAGCAAAACATTTCAAACATTTGCAAATTTAATTTACAATTTCACCTCTCCATCACCAGTGGTTCCTATTTATTGTACTCAATCTGGTTTCCAACTCTGTTATCGTCTCATTCAATGTTATATGAGGGTACTTCAAAAAGTTCGTGAAAAAATAGAATTAAAAGATCTTAATCTTTGCATGAGCTTTTTGAAGTCTCCTTGTACTTAAACATCGTCCATAGCATTGTAGTGGAGTTACACTGGATGTGAACCTGGGTTTAAATCCCACTGGTATCACTTATACTGTACTTTTAGGCAATTTACCTAACCCTTCTGAGCCTCAGTTTTTTCATCTGTAAAAGGAAGATAATATCTTCTTTGATTATTTCTCAGGGGTTTTGTGAGAATTAAATGAAATTGTGTTAAGAAGGCTTTGTAGGCTTTAAAAAACTATATAAATATAAATATATATTTATTTTTATTTCCTTCTGATCACCTTCTTTCACCCCCAACCCTAGCTCAGACGTGCCTTCCAACTTCACCCACCGCTCGCAGCTCGTCCTTCTTTCACAATCATCCTGGCTTCTGTCTTGCCCATGTCCCCACCACGTTTGTACGTGGGTAAGAAAAAACGTTCTCATATCATAGATGAGAAAAATAAGACATGAATAGGGAAAAACAATACAAAATAAGAAAATGTCATGCTTTAGCATTTAGTTTGTCTAAGTCTTAAACACACAGATAATTACAGTGTGGTTCAAATTTACACAAAAATCCTCAGAAAACCTGACAGCATTTCATCCAAAAAGCAGCATGATAATTTTTTAGGTTCAAAGCAGCCCGTTCATTAATGATGTATACAATTATACTTTGGATTTCAGATGAGTACCATTATATTAGCAAGCATTAAATGGGAATACTTTTTAAAAATATATATATAATTATACAGTGCATGTCTGACTCTTCTGAACTGGACTCTGAAATCTTCTGAATTATGAGTAATTACCTTTTCTAATTCTTGATCCTGCCGATTCATAAGTGTTTTCCAGTGTTCATAAAGCTCAACATCTTTGGTTTGAATGTCCTTCAAAGTCCCTTCTCTTAGTACACTTCCATCTTTCATGGCTATGATCTAAGGAAAGCACATATTACAGAAATGTGACAAAAAAAACTTAGTTGACCAAATGAATTGCCTTTATTTGAGAAAGCACTTCTTAATGTCTCTACTTATTTGTATGATTATAATATAAAATCAACGAAACTCTCCTCTAAACACTTACCCAGTCAGCATGTGTCAGATATTGTAATTTGTGAGTCACAAGAACGAGTGTCCTTTTGTCATCTTGTAGAAATTTCAAAATCCCTTCCTGCATTAAGTGATCACTCAAGTGGATGTCCAGGGCAGAGAATGGATCATCCTGCAAGCAGCAAAGTGGAGGGAAGATGAGCTTTTTCTATACTCTGTGTAAGTTAGTTTCTCTAGAAAGCAGAAATAGAAATTATTAAGGGCAAGTTATCCCCCAAATCCAATTTACAGAAAACAGATTCTGTATAACTTTAAATTGTCATAAACAGGTATTAACTTAAAAGTGAAGCTTTTATTTTCTCTTGAACCTTAAAAAATATTGAATAAAAGTATTCAAAGTGGCTTGAATTTTTATAAAATCTTCAAGTTCAAAAACCAACATTACTCAGCAACTTATAACAATAGACGAAAACAAAGAATGAAAAGATAATTGGAATAGTTGAATTCTAGATAATAAAAACAGGCATTGAAAATGTTAATTAGGTCACAACAGGACTTGTTAATGGGGATGTTACCAGGAATAAATGAAGTAATATACATAAAGTGCTTTGTATAGTACCAGGTACATAATATGACACTAGATAACTGTTAGCTATTATTATTATTATTGGGTATAAGAATCATATACCTAACACTGAACTAGTGACAATTGTCTTGGGAAGAAAGGAAGTTTTCACACAGCAAGTGATGAATAATTTAGGAGATGATATTAATTGACTTTTTTTGTGATGCCATTACTATAGATTACTTTCATATACATTTTATTCGTATAATGCCATAGAGGGCATCAATGTTTTGCATTTTTGGATCTTTAAAAGAAAAAAACTAGAAACTACTGGAGAAAACTAGAATGTTTCCTCGAAATGATGAATTAGAAAGCAAAGTGACCTTCAGGGAGCATGGTGCAGAAATATGTCATTACCCGCTAGAAGAACCAGGAATGGCAGGGAATCAAAGAAACGGAGTGAGAGCTGGAGGGACAAAGCAGTAAAAAAATGCTCGAAGTTTCCAGTAAACAACTGGGAAGAGTGATTGGAACAGTGAAAAAGGAGTTTGTGAGTGCCTTCTTCATCACCTTTATTTCTTTTTTGTCCCTCCATGTATATAATATGCAAACAAATTTCTAGTTTGTCTTATGGCACAAGAAAGAAGTAGCTGGTTTCTCATTCTACTACACATAGGCTACATATTCAGAAATTCAGAAATTATAATTCTGCAAAGTTTTCTGAACAATTGAGCACAATCACAGTCTATACACATAAACTGCACTGGTTTATAATCTGGGTAATGAAAATAAAAGCAATTTTTACTCAGAAATTGATGTTTGGAAGTTAGAATAAATATATGTATGGTCATTATAGATAGTGATATGATTAGCTCAGTAATTTTTCAACTCTGTCAATCTCTGCCTGCATAGAAAGAAACTATAAGTAATATGGCTTTATTGAAGCATTTAGGAAAAGGCTTATGAAAAAGAAATATTAGCAATGCATTTAGATAGTTAAAGGGTGATTCAGAGTTATAATAGCTTTTTAAAGACCACTCTACTGGATATCATCGTTATGAATAAATGGGTGATATAATTAATCTCCTCAAATGACTTTTATAGAAATACATTTAGTAACAGAGACATACCTCCATTTATCTCATTTATTTAAACCATTTAAATAATGTGATATTCTGGATAATGTAATAGCTGACAAAATAATTGTCATTATACACACATATATGCATATATGTATATATCTTACTCTATGTGTACTTAAAACACAATAATGAAACAAAAGGGGCTTAATGACATAACTATCTTTGATTGTCATGAAATTTCTTTATATAAGAAATATTTCAGAATCTTTCAGATCTTCTGGATCGTCTTTATGAATATCAATTATTCCTGAAATGTTCCAAGAAGTAGGATGTACAGGAGATCGAAATACTTTCATTTAAAATTTTTAATTCTTAGGTTTTCTACCACTAATACACAAAATTTCTTTTAACACAGAAGTTATGACGAAACTTCACAATTACTTAAAAATGAAAGCCTAGGTATCTATATTAAGTGGCATGGGATAAAGCCATGTTTGCACAGCAATGGAAAAAAATATCACTGATACCAGGATTACACTGACAAAGATGTCTCCATGTCCATCTCCAATAATGCAGCAAGGATATAGTTACCAGCACTTAACTTCCAGCAAATCAGTGATTTTAGAAACTCAGGTCATCATCACAGGGGAACTTGATTGCTTCTGAGACAACCTTCTGCTTCTGATTTCGACAAAACCCTAAGAATACTTTGTGATACAGACCAAACTATCCCAAATAATTCTTTCTGAGAATTTTTCTCAGAAACAAATAGGACATGAATTGAAAATAATTTTTTTATCATGAAATATATAATTCGGTTTTCCATGAAATTCTGACTTTCAATGTTATAAGATAGTAAGGGATAATGGAAAATCCATTATCTCTAAATTAAGAGACCCAAATTGTAGTTATGACCGCTCTCGGACACTAGGCTGATCATCACATACTGTACACAAACACTGATAGTCAACTCTCTACCCCGTAAATATGTACAATCAAAAATAAACATTTTAGAAAGAAAGACAGCAAATTATTGACAGCAATAATTTCAGAAAATACTAGAGAATCTTAGCTGATCAGAAACACAGTACTCAAAAGACATGCGGTTCTAGCCCAGACTCTGTCACTCACTAGTCATCAGCCCTGGGTTGAGAACTTTACCTCTCTAAGCATAAATTTCCTTATTTAACATGAGGACACCATCTACCCTCAGAGCACTGCCATGAGAATTGAATGGAATGAGACTGTGGCTCAAAGCACATGTAAATTTTTAAACAATGGAAGTGTAAGATATCATTTTTGAGGAATTATTAAAACAAATCAACAGCATTCCATTGCTGCTAAAAATATTTTGCAATTTTAGACTACAATGAAGTGTAATATTTAGATCCTATGACACATAGTTTTAAGGTTATCTGAGCTGGTCAGAGTGCATCTAGCACACATTTTTACAAAGGGACTCTGAGCAACACTATTACATCCAGGATTAATAAAAGTTATAAAAATTAGGTCATTTGTGGAAGAATTGAAAATACTGAGCTTGCTTAGCCTAGAAAAATGTAAATGTAAATTAAGGCAAGTTATGACAATAATATTAAAATGCTGAACTATGACTACATAAAATGATATATTTGTTGCTGTAGAAGCAGAATGAGGACCGATGAATGAAAAGCACACGGAAACAGATTTCAATCACATAATACCTTTCCAATCAGAAGAATTGTCTTGGTAGGTAGAATAATGGCCCCCAAAGATAACCAGGTCCTAATCCCAAGAACCTGTGACTCTGTTACCTTACATGGCAAGCAGGACTTTGCAGATGTGATTAAGATTAAAGACCTAAGATTAAAGTCCTAGAGATGGGGAGATTATCCAGATGGGCCCAAACTAATTACATGAATTGTTAAAAGCAAATAAGTTTCCCAGCTGGGAAGAGGAGATGAGACTATGTAAGAATGGTCAGACAGAAGTTACATTGCTAGCTTTGAAGGTGGGGGAAGACAGTCATGAGGCAGGGAATGTGGGCAAACTCTAGAAGCTCGAAAAGAGAAGGAAATGGATTCTTCCCTACAGCATCTCAAGGGGAACACAGCCCTACTGACACTCTGACGGACTTCCAACCTACAGAATTATAAGACAGTAAATTTGTGTTAAGTCACCAGCTACGGTAACTTGTTATAGCAGCAACAGAAAACCTGTACACTGCCCAACAAGAAAAAGGCTGTCTTAAAGATAAACAGCGTATCTTCAGAGAGTCATCAAGAAGCTTAACCTACAGAATTATAAGACAGTAAATTTGTGTTAAGTCACCAGCTACGGTAACTTGTTATAGCAGCAACAGAAAACCTGTACACTATCCAACAAGAAAAAGGCTGTCTTAAAGATAAACAGCGTATCTTCAGAGAGTCATCAAGAAGCTGTTAAAGACAATGCTAAAAGTAATCCTGTAACAAATGGGTAGGAATCACAACAAGTTAACTCTTCTTTGAATTCCATGATTCTAAAATTGAAATAAGTCAGGGTCATTAAATTGCAGTCAGTGAAATGAACTGGAGAAGAAAGCCACACACAGGGGATCTTGGTTCCTTTCAGGTTTCCCAGTCACTTGATGCTCAGGTGGTTCAGTCGTTGACTGATACCAAGGTTTAAGAAGTCATTACTAGTTGTAGGTCCATCTATTAAAAAGGATTTACGATTACGCTGGTTACTATTAGATCCTAGTATGGCTTTTATGGTGTTTTTTGGGAAAAATTTGGGGGACAGGTAATCTTAGGGAGATTTGAAATAAATTTCCAGTATGTCCAAATTCTTCTACCATCTCCAATAACGGATCCACATGTGATCCAAGTTTAGTGGATAACTCCAAAACCAACCTACTTTTTGAAAAGGTTCTAGAGATTAGATGGAGTGAACACTGTAAAGGAGACCTGGGAATCAGATTCATAAATGGTTAATAATTTCCCAGAAGGAGAAGGCAGAGGAAGGATGTATTTTTGCACTCTGCTGGTTTCTAATATACATTGTGTGCTTATAAACTATGTCATTTTGGCTACCTCCTGCTGGAGGAACTAAAACAGAGTAGAATCATAATCAACATAATCATCTGATTTTATCTGTGGATCCACAGGTAGAACTGAATTATTATCCCAGGATAATCATGAGGATTATCCATGGATCTTTTTAATGACACGGATTCTGTACTCCATCCAAGTAGAATCATAATCAACATAAACATCTGATTTTATCTGTGGATCCACAGGTAGAACTGAATTATTATTCCAGGATAATCATGAGGATTATCCATGGATCTTTTTAATGACACGGATTCTGTACTCCATCCTTACAGGTTAAGATTCAGTAGGTCTAGGGTAGAACCAAGATTTCTATAGTTTTAGGAAGCATCACAGAAAAATCTTATCCACAGCCTGTGTTGCGCGCTGCTGGAATGGATTGCCATGCTTACTTACCCCTATGTCCACCAAGAGCATTATTTTCTGGCCCTTTTTTCTTTGCAATAAAATATAAATGAGAAGATCTATTTTCCTGTCCAGATAACCCAACACCATCCACACTCCCACAATTCTTGTGGTTAAGAAACTCAGAGAAGAAACCACTTAGAGCAACTTAGTCTGTTGGACTATGATCTGGATCTCCCAACTTTGTATGTTGATCCTCTACCGATTTGTACTGTGAGGATTTGTTTGACCAGTTAAAACATTTTTCTATGAGTTATTTGACTTGTCCTTTTAAAGACTCATTTTTCAAGAGGAAAAATAGAAATAAAAGTTAAGGCCATATTCTTACCAAGAAGACAATGTTGGTGTTTTGATAAAGAGCTCGTGCCACACAGATTCTCTGCCTCTGCCCCCCACTCAGGTTGATGCCCTAGAGAAGAGACACCCATCAACATCCATCTTTTCTATTTTGTAAATGATCTCTTGGTAAAAATTCCCTTTAAAATACAAACTTCTCTTTAAAAAATCTTAAATTAATAGTAATTTATTACTTAAATTGTGGTAAAATTGGTAAGATAAAATGAAAACTGTATACCAGTTAATGCTCTAATTATATCAAGGTAGTTTTTGACTGACAACATTAATCCTCCACGCTCTGATAGAGAGCTCTGCTGTACAAATGCATTAATCACCAAAACATTAGCTGAGTACCGAAGACTGCAAGCAATTCCAAGATTTTTTCTGGTTTCCTGAATTGTATCTGTAGTTTACTAACATATATCTCTAAAATTTGACATTACAAGTTATGTTAAACAGTACTACATAGCAATATGCTTTCACAATGAAGCACTAATTATAAATTTTCAAAAAGCTAGTATTAGTTGAGCCCTTAGTATGCACCAGGCTTGTGTAAATGGCTTTACATTATTCCTTTTATTTCTCATAGCAATTCTAATATGTAGGCATTCTTCTTATTTTACACATGTGGAAACTGAGGCTCAGAGAAGTGATATTCACTCTCTTAAACACTATACTAGGCTGCAATAAAGAATAGCCATTAAGAACAAAGCCTACAGAGTCAGACGAATCCTGGCTACAGCACTAACTCTGCGATTGGGCAAGTTCTCTAATCTTTCTTAGCCTTGGTTTTCTCAGCTGTAATATGCAGATAACAATAACACCCATTACACAGATTTCTTATGAAGGTAGCTAATGCATATAAAGCTTGACCACCTATAAGGGTTAAAAAAATTTTAGCCATTATTACTAGAAAAATTACAGGTGTAAATATTTTTCAGCTGGTCTGAACAGTATGGCATCTATGTAAAACATGTTTACCCAAAGAAAAAAGAACACTTTAACAAGAATAAACAGATGTAGACAAGAGTGGAAGAAATCGTCGGAAGCAATCTCAGTTTCCAAACTGATTAAAGTTAGTTCCAAGTAAACAAAAATACGTTTGGTCAAAGCCAGGGACTATGTTTTACTTTCCTTGAGAACTCCAGAGTGGCTAACACCACATTAAGCATACAGTGGTTACTTAATAAATGCTTAAGGGAGAATGGCGTCAAAGGACTCCCATCCTCACATTTCTGGAATTTGTCACTAGCACAACACACAACTCCTAAGCTCTCAGATTTCATTATGCTTCATTAAAGATTAAAGACAACAAGAAGGCTTTTCCATGGCTTAATTAAACTATACGTAGCTCACTCTCTCTCCAATTTCAGTTTGGTCTCCAAATGGTAATAAGTCAATATCTGGCTGAAGAGAACAGGCATCTGTCACAGCTTTGTACCTTTGGGAAAAAAAATTTGAATTTTTAGATCACTACTAATACAGTGCCCATAAACTAAGTCCCAGGTTCAATATCTCAGAAGGTAAAATAAAGCATTTACTGAACTACTTAGTGTTTACTAGACGCTACACTAGGTTTGTGAACACAAAGATAAATAGGTATGGATTCCCACTCTTCTCACAACAAAAATGATAGCTATGTGATGTAATGTGTATGTTAATTACCTAGATTTAGTCATTCCGCAGCATTTACATACTTTGAGACATTATGTTGTACGTGATAAATACATACAAATTTATCTATCAATTTTTTTAAAAATTTAAAGCTAGTATATGGAGCAAAAGACTGATACAACAACATAATAAAAATATTCCTTGTTAGGTGCTATGGTGCAGGTGGGTACAAAGCACTCCTGGAACATAGAGAAGAAGTGACTGACCACTCTGAGAAGTTACAGAGGAGGAAATGCCAAAGCACTATCCAGAAAGGTGAGTAATTTACCAGGAAGAAAATGAGGCAAAGGAAGTTTAGGAAACTTCAGCAGGTAAAAAAAGTTCATGGTGCATGAAAACTCATCATGGCTCATCACAGCTAGAAGTTACAGAGGAGGAAATGCCAAAGCCCTATCCAGAAAGGTGAGTAATTTACCAGGAAGAAAATGAGGCAAAGGAAGTTTAAGAAACTTCAGCAGGTAAAAAAAGTTCATGGTGCATGAAAACTCATCATGGCTCATCACAGCTAATGCACAGGTTGGGGTGGGCGACCTTGCATAGAGTCACGTGTGCTGAAGGCAGTAAATGGAAGACACGAGGACTGATAGTGCTCAAGTTGACCTAAGGCTGGGTCTGGAAACCAGATGAATTGCAAGTATCAGGGAAGCATGGGGATTGGAGGTGCAGGGGGAAATACCACGGTTTCCTCTTCTTACTCACCTAGTCTTGAGATGTTCAAGTCATTCTTGATCCTTCCCTCTTCTTCTCCCTGCTCATATTTGTCCATTCTTGTTCTACAATGTTTTCTTTTTTTCCTCAACCATCCCCTCTTTTACATTTCTACTGTTAACCCCAAGTGCAAGTAATAAACACTGGAACCTAGATAATTACTCGAACTAACTCCTAAGTGTCTCCTTGCTCTCTCATTCACCATATATACATATATATTGTGTGTGTGTGTCAGATTTTACTTCCAAATTAAACATTACATTTACTTTGTTATTTCCCTTTCTAAAACAGAATGCATATAATTATATCCAATTGGCTTTTAGTCCCTCCACTAACTGGTCTCAGCCTTCTGAGTCTCTTTCTTTCTGATTCATTCCCAGGCCCCAAACAATCCCATGCAGTTCAGGTTCTTTCTCCCACTCTGTCTCCTTCTGCCCTGCTCTTCCTCACGTCCCTCCCCTTACTTAGAACTCCTTAATTTTTAAGACCCAGCTGAGGATCTTAAGACCCTCTTTTGTGAGAGTGGCCTAAGGCAAGGGTCATGCCTTCATATGTCCCAGTGGTATTTAAAAGATGATTGAAAGAGGGCATATTCTGCTGCTCCCTGTCATTAGACTCCCCAGACCCCACATTCTTCTTTCTACAGTTAACCCTCTTTCTGCAGCTTACCTGGAGTTTTCTTTGTTTATCTGCTCACCAATAACCTAAGAAACCCCCACCCCCTACACGTACAGACTTCAATTGCTGCTGTCTAGTCTTGTACAAATTGTTCTCAATAAGTGGGCAGGATGGTCTGAAACCTCCAATGAGCCTTCTCTTCAAAGAATAGGTTCAAAAGAGCTTAGTGGTGAGGACAGAAGTAAGGCAAGCAGGAAAGAAGGGAGGTCCCCGCTGTAAAGGTTCCAGAAACCATGAACCAAGCACATGGATCAGAAATAGCTGTCACTTCAGTTCTAAATTCTATGTGCTCAGAATTACCTCTGTTTGTTGAAAGGGCTTCCAAAGGTAATATTTTCTTCTACTGTAGCATTTAATAACCAAGGCTTCTGAGCTGCATAAGCCACAGAATACCTGTTTCTACTGAAAATGGAAAAGAAAAACAAAATACCAGAATTATGCAACGGTGCTTGTCATATGTGTATTTTAGCATAACTAAGGAAAATAAGAGTTGATGAAATATCTCAAACAGAGAAATGGAAAACTTCTAAAAGAGAAAATTTTAAAGGCCACCAACTTATTAAGAAATGGTTAGTATGCCACCTAAATTAAAGGGATTCAAATTTAATCAAAATGTCACACAATGTATAAAATTTGATTTTGCTATTCTGAAAAAGCATTTTAGGTATAAAATATTAATTAAAATTTTCTTTTCTAAAATGACTATAACTTTTCAAATAGTTAAAAGATTAATAATAATTCACTCTCTCCAATAGCCACAGGTATTTTAATTTATATTAAAAACACTTACGGAGCTATAAATTGTATACACAGACCTTAAAAAAAGATGTGAATTGATAATTTCAGTATGTGTTTGTGGCTTCATCACATTAACATATTATAAGGAAATAGGTAATAAATAAATATTTCAAAACAATAAAATCTTGAGGAGTCCATTTCAATATTAAAACTATACATTTAAAAACTACATATATCGAAACATAATGAAATAGTTTATGCAAAAAAACAAACAAACAACTTTCCATTTTTTTGTCTTCCTCCATTTTTTTGTCTTGTAAATTCTACCAGATATCTATATATCAGACTTTAATTTGCAATCATTAGGAAAGTAAAGAAGATGATGGGGTTGGGGTGGGAAAGGGGGCAGGTCAGCTTAAAAGTCAGACTTCCATAGTTAGTTCACGATCTGTAAGTACTAAGTAAGGAATTAAGGTTAAAAGAGAGTAAGGTTAAGAAAGAGATAGTTAGAAATGCTCAATGATCATTCTGAAACGTTACATCTTAGGAGTTTAGAAGACATGATAATGTACAGTATGCTAGTAGTCTCTTAGATTATCATATGTGCAGTAAAACAATGGTTCCCAACCTCCGACGTGTCTGCCTCCCCTGCCCCTGGTCTTCTAGTGTTGGGTTTTTTTCAAATGGATAAAACACTCGGCTCTCCATCTCTACCTTATAGGTAGGCCCCATCATTGTTTAAGTCACAATCTCTACAGGTATTAATTCTTATATTTTTATTTTATGAAATCCCAAGCCAAGTTTACTAAGGACGGTTTGAGTTTCAGTATTTGTCCATTCTTGTTCTACAATGTTTTCTTTTTTTCCTCAACCATCCCCTCTTTTACATTTCTACTGTTAACCCCAAGTGCAAGTAATAAACACTGGAACCTAGATAATTACTCAAACTAACTCCTAAGTGTCTCCTTGCTCTCTCATTCACCATATATACATATATATTGTGTGTGTGTGTCAGATTTTACTTCCAAATTAAACATTACATTTACTTTGTTATTTCCCTTTCTAAAACAGAATGCATATAATTATATCCAATTGGCTTTTAGTCCCTCCACTAACTGGTCTCAGCCTTCTGAGTCTCTTTCTTTCTGATTCATTCCCAGGCCCCAAACAATCCCATGCAGTTCAGGTTCTTTCTCCCACTCTGTCTCCTTCTGCCCTGCTCTTCCTCACGTCCCTCCCCTTACTTAGAAACACCCAAGCCACCTTTGGCAAATCAGGGTAAACAATGGAGTAGGTGACTAAGGGTTAATTAAGAGTGGGCTAGATGAAGAAAAGGCCAGAGTAAATCCAGGAGGTACCCTGGTCATACAAGGAAAAGATGTAAATTCAGTATGTGAAATGTGGATGTAAATGGCAACTGAGGAAAAGTACATGAGAAACATAAAAAGTAAGCACAGCCCGATCATCAAGGGACTTATAAACCATTTTACAGAGCTTGAACTTTTCCTGAGAGCAACAGAAAACCACTGAAAGCTTAAAACAAAAGAGAGATACAAGTTCAGTTTAGAAATATTACTCTTTTCACAGAAGGTGACCAATGAATTGGAGGGTGCAAGATAGGAAATGATACAGAGACCACTGGGGCTGTCAGTGTAACAGGGATAAGAATTAAGGTAATGGTGGATGAGCGAAGAGAAGTGGACACATTCTGGTACATGGTAAGAAGTACAGGCCTAGTTTCATTCTTCTACATATGGATATCCAGTTTTCCCTGCACCATTTATATGAAGAGGCTGTCTTTTCCCCAATGTATGTTCTTGCTGCTTTTGTCAAAGATCAGTTGGCTAGAGACCAGACCCCCCCCCCCCAACCAGGTACACCATGCCAGTGCCTTGGGGCCCGCCCGGGGACCCGGGGCATGGAGAAGGGGACTGGTCTCCCCTCCTGCAACCAGGCACACCTTGCCAGTGCCTCGGGGCACCCCCTGGGGACTTGGGGTATGTAGCCAGGAATCAGACACTCTCCACAACCAGGCACACTGCCAGCACCAAAGAGCATGCCAAAATCATCTCCTCCATGTGGGTGGCCCACCACAGCCACCACGATATCCATGGCTGCCGTGAAGGTGGCTAGATGCCACAACCACCATGCAGAGGGTCTGCCAGCCACTGGAGGAGTGCATTGACACAAGAAGAGTCACCAGCAGAGATAAAGAAAGGAGGAGGATGTCTCTCCCCACAGAGCCCATTTCAGAGTGACAGAAGAGGCATCTGTTCTATGATTGTATTGGGGGACCTGACCACACCTCTCAGCATTGGACAGATCATTTGGGCAGCAAATCAACAGAGTAACCATTATTCTTTCAAAGGGAGAGAGGAACTCGAGGGTAATTAGAGGGAGGAGGGAAAAGGGGATGGGGAGGGATTGGACAAGGGGCATGAAGAGTAATTATGATTTGTAACGATATATGCTAGTAGTATTGATCTGATCAACATATCTCAATGTTGAACCCCAAAAAT